ATACATGCCCTTTATGTGTGTGCATGTGCACAAAAGAAAGTACATATAAACATACGTATAAAATTTGTGAAAATGCAAAAACACAGACACACACACACACACACACACAAAGAAAGAAAGAAAGAAAGAAAGAAAGAAAGAAAAGAAAATATATATATATATATATATATATATAGACAGGAAGAAATGAAATTAGTATTTAAAGATGAAAGAAAGTACGTGAATGAAAAACATATACGTATATTTTTTATATATATATATATATATATATATATATATATATATATAAGTAAAATATATATAAGAAAATGTGAGAGAGAGAAGAGAAAATGTGAAATTAGAAGAAAGAAAGAAAGAAAGAAAGAAAGAAAGAAAGAAAGAAAGAAAAGAAAGAAAATATATAAATCTGAGACCATCATGATGGATCTCTTGTTTCCTTCGGGAAAAAAAAAAAAAGAAAGAAAGAAAAGAAAGAAAGAAAGAAAGAAAGAAAATAGCTGAAAGAAGAAATGTGATCGCGCAGGATGTGGAAAGGAAAGGAAAGAAAGAAAAGAAAGAAAGAAAGAAAGAAAGGATTAATGCAAGAAAAAGAAAATATGTAGCTTTTGCAATGATGGACATCAATCATACCGTCGACCCAGCAAAAGAAAGAAAGAAAGAAAAGAAATAATGGGAACATTTGTCATAAGAAAATGGGATGGAACGGAAGAAATCCAACTAGCAGCCTGAAAAGCCATTCATAAAATCATACCATCTTCTTGTCTTTTCTTAAAAGAGACAGGAAGAAATAAATGAAGAAAGAAAGAAAGAAAGAAAAGAAAGAAAGCCTTTTCTTTTTGAAAAGAGAGACCTGTTTTCCCTCTCAAACACCCAATCACTTGAGCTTATGTCATTTCCCATTCTTCTTTTCGGTCTATGACCGTCGTCAGCACGCATGTTTGTCTCCGCAGTCAAAGTTATTTAAAAATATGTAAGTAAAATTTGAAAGTAACTCAAACGCAATTAGAAAAAGAAAGAAAGAGGAAATTCCAAAAATTTGAAAAGTGATTTGGTTTCGCCGTTGTTTGGAGGCGCAGCTTATGGAAGCCACTGGTTAAATCTGTTGACCGGTGACTACAAGGAGTAAACTTCGATTATCACAGCATTCTGATGAGAAAGAAGATATCTTTTGCTTCCATATACGTCCTCTATTTCTTCTGGAGATTATGATGGAAAGAGAGACGTATGAAATGAAATTAGAAGAAAAGAAAGAAAAGAAAGAAAGAAAGAAAAGAAAGAAAGAAAGAAAGAAAAAAGAACTGCCTGAAAGAAATCTTAAAAGAAAGTCATCTTCCATCTTCCAGAATATTGCCATTTGTTGGTAACATTGTTTTCACTCTCAAAATACCAAGCAAAATAATATTTACTCAAACATCATTTGTACACGAATAATGTGTAGGGGCGAATATACAAGGTTCGATTAATATATTGTCACCATTTTATATTTTTAATTTCGCGCATGCGCGTTGTTTGTTTTGATTTTTGTCGACTGAACAGTACAAAGAAAGAAAAAGGGCCAAAAATTTGTTGGGCACCGCCAGGAAGAAAGAAGTGAAATTAGAAGAAAGAAAAAAGAAATGCACCATGAATTAAAATCTGCCAGAAATTTGAAGAAAGAAAAAAAATGTTGTAAGAAAATGCTTGACATTCGAGACCGGAAGAAATCCAATACGAACATTTCAGTGTGTTTGGGTGTCACTCTGAAAGAAAAGAAAGACAGTGCAGAAAGAAATATTCAAATTTGAAAAAAGAGTTGGATGAGTCTAATGGGATTACGAAGGTAAAGAAAGGAAAAAAGAGAGAAAAAAAATGTGAAAGAAGAAAAAAATGAATTAAAGAAAGAAAGAAAAGAAAGAAATTAAGAAAGAAAAAGAAAAAAGAAAATATGTAAGTAAAATTTGAAAGAAAATGAAAGAAATTAGAAGAAAGAAAGAAAAAGTGAAATAAAATTTGAAAAAAAGAAAAATGTGAAAGAAAGAAAAAAAAAGAAAGAAAGAAAAAAAAAGAAAATAAAACAAAAATATCGATTAAATAAGGATGAAAGTAAATGTTGAATTAAGAACAAAGAAAAACATGAAATAATAAAGAAAGATAGAAAGAAATTTGAACGTAGAGAAAAACAAAAATAGGAAAGGGAGATAAAAAGGACAAATATGGAATAAGTTTGAATAGATAAAAAAATATAAGAAAACAAGAAAAAGAAAGAAAAAAGTTAAAGAAAGAAATGATTCAAAAATGAGAAAGAAAGAAAGAAAGTAGGTAAGTAAAATTAGAAAGAAAATTTGAAAGTAAGAAAATGAAAATGTGATGGAAAAAGAAAGAAAGGAAAGAAAATATGTAAGAAAAAGGAAGAAAATATGGAAAGAGAACAGGAAAAAATGAAAAAGAAGAAAGAAAATATAGAAAGAAAGAAAGAAAAAGAAAAAAAAAAATGAAAGAAAAAGAAAGAAAGAAAAGAAAGAAAGAAAAAAGCGAAAGAAAAAAAGAAAGAAAATATGAAAAAATTTGATGAAAGAAAAGAAGGAAGAAATGAAAGAAAGAAAGAAAGAAAGAAAATAAAGAAAGAAAAAAAGAAAATATGTAAGAAAATTTGGAAAGTAAGAAAATGATGGAAAGAGAGACAAAGAAATGTGAAATTAGAAGAAAAAAGAAAGAAAAAAGAAAGAAAGAAAGAAAGAAAGAAAGAAAATATGTGTTAAGAAATGTGAAAAAAGAAAAGAAAGAAATGTGGAAATTAGAAAAAGAAAAAAGAAAGAAAGAAAAGAAAGAAAGAAAGAAAAAAAAATATAAGTAAAATTAGTGAAAATTTAGAAAAAGAAAGAAAAAAGAAAGAAAGAAAGAAAAGAGAAAATTTGAAAGTAAGAAAATGTGAAAACAGAAGAAATAAATTAGAAGAAAGAAAGAAAGAAAGAAAGAAAGAAAGAAAGAAAGAAAGAAAGAAAGAAAATATGAAAGAAAGTAAGAAAATGGAAAGAGAAGAAAAAATGAAAGAAAGAAAGAAAGAAAGAAAGAAAGAAAGAAAAATGTAAGAAAATTTGAAAAAAATGTGATGGAAGAAAAAGAAATGAAAGAAGAAAGAAAGAAAGAAAGAAAAAAAAGAAAAGATTTAAAATTTGAAAGTAAGAAATGTGATGGAAAGAAGGAAAAATGTGAAATTAAGAAGAAAGAAAGAAAGAAAGAAAGAAAGAAAGAAAAGAAAGAAAGAAAGAAAAAAAGAAAATTTGAAAGAAAAAGAAAGAAAGAAAGAAAGAAAAAGAAAGAAAGAAAGAAAGAAAAGAAAAGAAAAGAAAAAAAATGGGTAAAATTTGAAAGTAAGAAAAGAAGAAATTAGGAAAGAAAGAAAGAAAGAAAGAAAGAAAGAAAGAAAGAAAAGAAAAGAAAGAAAAGAAAATTTGAAAAAATGAAAGAAAGAAAGAAAGAAAGAAAGAAAAAGAAAGAAAGAAAGAAAATATGTAAGTAAAAATTTGAAAGTAAAAATTTGAAAGAAAAGAGACAGACAGAAAAAAAGAAAGAAAGAAAGAAAAGAAAGAAAGAAAAGAAAGAAAGAAAAAAATATGTAAGAAATTTGAAAGTGGAAAAGAAAAAGAAAGAAAGAAATTAGAAAAAGAAAGAAAGAAATGCGAAATTAAAGAAAAAGAAAGAAAGAAAGAAAGAAAGAAAGAAAGAAAGAAAAAATATGTAAAAATAAAAAGAAAATGGAAAAAGAGAAAGAAAAAAATTTGAAAGAAAGAAAATGTGATGGAAAGAGAAAATGATGGAAAGAGACAGAAGAAATGTGAAATTAGGAAAGAAAGAAAGAAAAATTAGAAGAAAGAAAGAAAACATGAAAAAATTTGAAAATGAAAGAGAATGTGAAAAGAGAAAGAAATGTGATGGAAAGAGAGACAGAAAATGTGAAATTAGAAGAAAGAAAAGAAAGAAAGAAAGAAAAGAAAGAAAATATGGGAAAATTTGAAAGTAAGAAAATGTGATGGAAAGAGAGACAGGAAGAAATTTAGAAGAAAAAAGAAAAGAAAGAAAGAAAGAAAGAAAGAAAGAAAGAAAGAAAGAAAGAAAATATGAAAATTTGAAAGCAAAAAATGATGAAAAGAGAGAGGAAAAAATGAAATTAGAAGAAATAAAGTAAGAAAATTTGAAAAGAAATGGAAAGACAAAGACAGGAAGAAATGAAATTATGTAAGAAATTCTGAAAGAAAAAGAAAGAAAGAAAGAAAGAAAGAAAGAAAGAAAGAAAGAAAGAAAGAAAGAAAGAAAGAAAATATGTAAGTAAAATTTGAAAGTAAGAAAATGTGATGGAAAGAGAGACAGGAAGAAATGTGAAATTAGAAGAAAGAAAGAAAGAAAGAAAGAAAGAAAAAAGAAAAGAAAGAAAGAAAATATGTAAGTAAAATTTGAAAGTAAGAAATTTGAAGAAAGAAAAGGAAAAAAAAAAGAAAGAAAGAAAGAAAGGAAGAAAAATGTGAAAATTATGGAAAGAAAGGAAGAAATGAAAAAGAAAAGAAGAAAGAAAGAAAGAAAGAAAAAAGAAAGAAAATATGTAAGAAAGTAAGAAAATTTGGAAAGAGAGACAGGAAGAAATGTGAAATTAGAAGAAAGAAAAAAGAAAGAAAGAAAGAAAGAAAGAAAAAAATATGGGAAAGAAAGAAAAGTGAAATGGAAAGAAGAGAAAGAAAAAGAAAGAAAGAAAGAAAAGAAAATATATAAGTAAAATTTGAAAATGTAAAGAAAATTTGGAAAAAGAAAGAAAAAAGAAAAATGTGAAAGAAAGAAAGAAAGGAAGAAATGTGAAATTAAAAAGAAGAAAAAAGAAAGAAAGAAAGAAAGAAAGAAAGAAAGAAAGAAAATATGAAAAAAAGAGAAGAAATGGAAAAGAAGAAAGAAAGAAAGAAAAAATAAAGAAAGAAAGAAAAATTTGAAAGTAAGAAAATGTGATGGAAAGAGAGACAGGAAGAAATGTGAAATTAGAAGAAAGAAAGAAAGAAAGAAAGAAAGAAAGAAAGAAAGAAAATATGTAAGTAAAATTTGAAAGTAAGAAAATGTGATGGAAAGAGAGACAGGAAGAAATGTGAAATTAGAAGAAAGAAAGAAAGAAAGAAAGAAAAATGTGAAAAATATGTAAGAAAAATGTAAAAAACGAAACAGAAAAAGAAAGAAGAAAAGAAAGAAAGAAAAGAAAGAAAAAAAAAGAAAATATGAAAAAATATGAGGAAAAATGTGAAATTAGAAAAAAAGAAAGAAAAGAAAGAAAGAAAGAAAGAAAGAAAGAAAGAAAGAAAGAAAGAAAGAAAAATATTGGCAGAAAAGTATGGAAAGAAGAGAAGAAATGAAATTAGAAGAAAGAAAGAAAGAAAAGAAAGAAAGAAAGAAAAAAGAAAGAAAATATGTGGGTAAATTTGAAAGTAAGAAATTGGAAAGAAAGAAAGAAGAAAAAGAAAGAAAGAAAAAAGAAAAAGAAAAAAGAAAGAAAGAAAGAAAGAAAGAAAGAAAAATGAAAGAAAAGAAAAAATAATGAAATTGAAGAAAATAAGATGGAAGAAAAGAAAGAAATAGCTTTCGTTAAAATTAGAAGGAAAAAAGAAAAAAGAAAGAAAGAAAGAAAGAAAGAAAGAAAATATGTAAGTAAAATTTGAAAAAAAAATGGGATGAAACCAAATAAGAAATAAGTAAAAAGAAAAAAAGAAAAAAGAAAGAAAGAAGGAAAAGAAAGAAAAGAAAGAAAAATGTCAAGAAAAGAGACAGGAAGAAATGAAAGAAAGAAAGAAAGAGAAAAAAAAAAATAAAATTTGAAAGAAAAAATGAAAAAAAAGAAAGAAAGAAAAAGAAAGAAAGAAAGAAAGAAAATTAAAGAAAGAAAGAAAAAAGAAAGAAAGAAAGAAAATATGAAAGAAATAAAAAAGGAAAGAAAATATTGAATTAAAAAAAAAAAAAAAAAAAAGAAAGAAAAAAAAGAAAATAATGAATTGATAAGAATGAAAAAAAGAATGCTAGGAAAGAAAAAAAAAAATTAAAAAAGGACAAAAAAGAAACAAAAACAAAAAAAAAATGTCAAAAAAAGTGAAAGTTAAAAAAAAAAGAAAAATGTAAGAAAGTAAGAATAGAAAGAAAAAAAATGTAAATGCGTTTGAAAGAAAGAAAAATGAAAAAAAAAAAATGAAATTTTCAAAAGACAGAAAAAAGAGAAAAGTGAAAGTTAAAAAAAGAAAGCTTATGAAAAAGAAATAAATAAAGAAATAAAAATGTAAACACAGAAAAAAACTGTAGAAATAAATAAAATAAAATGTAAAGTAAGTAAAAGAAAGAAAGAAAGTAAGAAAGAAAATCCCAACAGGCCTTCTAACAATTTCTTGAGAAGCCATGATAATTTCCCTTTTTAGGAATGTAGAAGGTCCTCTTTTACCATCCCTTTTTCAGTTAAAAATAATTCCACTAGCCGAAAGGAAAGCATACAACTGGGGCCCTTTTCTGATCAAGGTACACACAATCTGCAAAGATGAACTGGTATTATTTCCTCCGGCTAAAAATACGGACACTATGATGACCGTGACCAGTGGTGTCAAGCTTCTCGAAACAAGGTAAAAATAGTTATTTTCTTTCCCAATTCTTTTAATGGCTCCTACAAAGCAAGACTTAGAACAGCTTTGAGCTCAGTTGATTGATTTAAAATGGACAAGAAGTTGGGGCACGCAGAGATGTGGAAAATATCTCATTCTTGAGATTCAAAGAGATATAAGCTTTCCCATCTCTCTTTATCTGCCTGCCTCTGTGTGTTCTCTACCTCGAGGTGTTGGCCCAGATAACTGCCATTCACATAACTGAACGCTGTAACAAAGAGTAAGAATGACAGCAAAGGTAATTTCGTCAGTGGTCGAGTTTTGTGGGGGAAAACAAGAACTTCAAAGTAAAATGACTTAAATTTCTAGCAATGTAATTCCTTCGGCATCGTCCTCTTTCTCAATTTTGTCTTAGATATTTTATCATTTTTTAATGGCCGTCGAGAAAAAAGGCGGGCAGTTTTCTTCAAAGACCTGCGCAGCAAATAGCAATTTATATTGATTTTTTTTTTGCGAAACATCGTAGCAGTTTGGAAATTTGTTTTATTTATTTTTTATTTTTTGCTGTCTGAAATGATCAACCATGAATTTAGAAAATGTCAAAATCTGTTTAGTTCTTTAAGAAGAACACTTTTCATTTCTTGTTCCATATAGAAAAAGAATTCCATAAGAAGCGAAAATAAATAACGACACGCTAATGATTTTTAATTTTTTTCATTTTTATTTTATTTAATCGATTTCACCTCATGCAAAGCAGTAAAGCCACTAAGACACAAGGGGTTACTGGGTATGGAACAATTAGAAACAGAACTGAACGGGTACAAAACGAGTACTCGGAAGGACAGTAGACAGTGATTAACATTGCATTTAAATTTTGGAAAGTTGGCTGAAAAGCATGGAGTCAGAAGGGAGTTCCACTACTGAGAAAAGAAACTGTTAACATAGAACTGACAGTTGCATCTAACCAACTCAACTGCAAAGTGATGAGGCTTCATAGCCAGTCTAGTACTGCACTTAAATTCATAAAGTCTAGGTGCCATAGCGAAAAGCTTATCCGAACAATTAGCATGCAAGTAATTATAGAAAAGACAAAAGATGGCTACCTTACAGTAGTGAGAAAAATGACTGAAGCCAAGCCATCAGATCAGGACTGATAATATTGCTTAGCCTCGTTTTTTCGCGACATTGTAACAGCATTTGTTTTTAAGAAGGTGTTTATAAATAATACCTGATTATTTATATATACGTAACTGTGACATTTGGCCGCTAGGCATTTGGCCGACGGACATTTGGCCGACGGATAAAAAGTACAAGTAAAAATAGTAACAAGTAATACTTTAAGTATTTTAATTATTAGTATTATAAGGTAGAATAGGACGAATAATTACCATTGAATTTCAAGTGATTAAATTACTAAACCTAAATTTAAAGTTAAAAGTTTTCTTATTTCAATATTTGCATATTGAAATTAGTATTTTTTTTAAAAGTATTTTAGTGTAGCACCTAATTATTTAAATTCGTATTTAACAGTAAGATAAAAGCTAGTTTATCTCTTTAAGATCTTTAATGATCATTAAAAGCGAAATTAAAAAAGATCATTTATATCGTAAAAACTAAAAAAGGTCATTTATATCGTAAAAACTAAAGATTTTTGCTGTAGTAAAATGTGCTTTTTCTCAAAATAGATATCGTCTTACAGTAATATTTGAAGTAAAATATAATATATGCAGAATAGATTTTTTTAAAAAAGCCTGTCAAAACAAAACAAAAAAAAACGAAAAATTATGAATTAATACATTAAATAAATATAAATACATGTTGCACATTACGATAAAGAGTGTGACATATATATATATAAGTACGCCACTATATTTTCTGCTAAATGTCCATTCGGTTAAATGTACCAAATTGTCACTGCAATTAACTGATAACTTACATTTGTCTCATGAAAATCGTCTTTGTCACATTTAAGATTTACTGGAGATCTTTCTAAATTTCCAAACGCCCATTCTTCTATTTATTTGAACTATTTCTTTTTCTTAGAATGTATTCCTCGTCTCAGTTCTGCTGTAGGAAAACTAAATAAAATTGATAAATACAATAATAATAATGAGTAATAAAAAGAAAGATAAAGAAATCAGTATGGCTGATGCTAACCGCCAGGAAAGTAACTCGTTGTGCCTTTTCGGGAAAACTTTCTCAGCTCACATGAAGTGGGAAGGCTATATTGAATCCACTCCTAAGTCAGCTGCTAAGAAAGTTTGTTCGCTATGTCATGCAAGACAATTTTTCTCTCAGAATCAATCTTACATTATTCGGACTATTGTCCTCATCTTTGTCGCCATGTTTATCACAACGTTTCGGCCGTTGTACGCTCTTCAGGTGGTTGGAATGTCGAACTGAACCATTTATTTCGCTCACTGGGGTAGACTGTTCTAATTCCACGTGCCATGTCTAATGGATGTCAGTTATCTCCTGCTAATTCGCCTCTGAAATTTCTCCACTGCCTTAACCAGGTATTGAACTCACACTCTTTGGGTCCTGTCACTGGATCTAACTAACGCCTTTATCCACTGTACCATGTGTCCTTGAGGACATCTGTGTATTAGTTTTATAATACTCAGAGTTCAATAACTGGTTAAGGCAGTGGAGAACTTTCAGAGGAGAATTAACAGGAGATAACTGACATCCATTAGACATGGCACGTGGAGCTAGAACAGTCTACCCCAGTGAGTGAAATAAAGGGTTCAGTTCGACATTTCAACCACCTGAAGTAGGCCAGAGCGTACAACGGCCGAAACGTTGTGATAAATATGGTGACAAAGATGAGGACAATAGTCCGAATAATGTAAATAGTGTACATAATACCTCATCTCAGAAATATAGACAGATCTCTCTTACATATCTATAAGTCTACCATTCGTCTATCCTTAGAATATTGCTGACACATATGGTCCGGTGACCCTGCTATTTATCTTGAGCGTCTTGATAAGATCCAAAGAAGAATCAGCAATATTATCGGTCCTGATATGGCGACTTGGCTTCAGTGACCTTCCCACCGTCGTAAAGTTGCCTCACTGTGTCTTTTCTATAAATACTTTTATGGTCATTGTTGGGATAAGTTCTAGATGTAGATGTAAGTTCTATGCTAACAGTTTCTTTTCTCGTTTGTGGGACCCCCTTTCCAGCTCCATGCTTTCCAGCTAAGTTTAATCTGCAAAAATTTAAATGCAATGTCATTCGCTATCTACTGGCCTCCTGGTTACTCTTTTATCTTTCCGTTCCGTTCATTATTAGTGATTCTGTTCTTAATTCTTCCATATCCTGTAATCCCATTGTGTTTTAGTGGCTTTACTCTCTTGCATGGGGTGAGGCCAATCAAAAAGAAATTTCCCATGATGCTAAGAAGTAAAAAAAACAAACAAAAAAAAACGGAAATGTGATAAACCTACCCGATTTCGTAAAACCCCGTTAGGTGGCGTTGTTGAAACCTATAAAAAAGCAAACATTTCTTGTCTCACTCACTTTCACCTCTTTACGCCACAATGTGAATGTGCTGAATGTTAGTTTCCTCGGCCCTCTTCCGACTGAACTCTCTTTCCACTTTCCGACACATGACACTCGCACGTGTCTTCCAAAAACATCAAACTATGAAGTAGCTCAAGCTTTTTTCTTTGGTTATTCCAACCCAGCGCAAGCCTAACTAGACCGCGTAGTAACGTAGACCGTAGTAACGAAGCTTGTACTGATTTATCCCAACTTCCGGACCAAGAAAAAGCAAACGGACATTCTCTAACCATGTTTAATGTTCCGGTGATAAAGTAAGTAGTTTCTATTTCCTTTGGTTGTTCCAACTCAGCGCAAGGCTAACTCGAGCGCGACCGTAGTAACGATACTTGTGCTGACTTATCCCAACTTCTGGACCAAGAATAAAGCAAACGGACATTCTCTAACCATGTTTAATGTTCTAATGATAAAGTAAGTAGTTTCTACTTCCTTTGATTGGTACAAGTCTGTGCAACGCTGACTTGAGCTCGATCATGTATACGATACTTATATTTAAATAACTTAATTCCTGGACAAAAAGGAAAACCGATATACCCAAGGGACATTAAGAATTTTGTTTCACTACAGTCACCACGAAAAGAATAAACTCCCTTAGCAGAAACTCGAGATTTTGTATGCTGGTATCTTCATTTTTTACATATTGAACGCGTACATTCACCTAAAATACACCCAAATCCTATAATCTGTTAACCTCCACACTGCTCTCATTGCTTTCATCAATATTTTGCTTTATTTCATTTAGTCTATTTGCGCTTCGATTTTGGATTTATTTCTCATTGTTTTTGCTTTTAATGCCATGTCTCTTCAGAACGCGGACAACCACGACTCCTTTTCTTTATTGAATGAGAATTATCTCAGATTCCTGAAGAATATGGGTGATTTTCCTCTTGCCTTCTTCATGGCTTTGCGTTTTATTTCGCTTCGCCCGGCTACCACCTCTACCTAGAGAATCATATCTACCTTGCTATTTAACCTATTCTTATTAATACTTTTATTTTTTATTTTATTTCTGTTGTAGCATACCTACGGACGATAATGGGTATGTCCCCATTCACATAAATACAGTAGTAAATACTGTATGTTGGTCTGCAGTTGAAAATTCATCGTGGAATTTAATTGACTTTCTTATAACAGTTGACTACACCTTTTACGCGCCGCTGGCGAATCTTATATGTGTTGTTCTTGTCCTAAGTATTATCCTTCATTATCAACCTTCGTTTGATTATTCTATTCAGTAATCTTCCCTAGGTTAAAAAAAAATTATTTTTTATTTTATTTTATATTTTTATTATTATTTTATTTTTACTTTTTATTTTTATGCTTATTTTATTTTTATTTTTTTATTTTATTTTTATTAGTTTTATTTAAAGAAATCAGGATCAATAAAGATCAGCATAAATTGTTACTATGACTATATGAATAACTACAAACAGGCAGAGAGAAGGGTGCACGTAGTGTTAAGTGTATGTGAATTTGGATTTGCAGCGTTTCGATAAAGTCTTTTGCCTTGAAGCTGTAAGCATAGCACAGAATAGGTGAAAATAGTATCGTTTCTGAAGTCGAACAATCTTTATCCTACAACTATGGAGGGAATAAAAACAATTTCATTACCTCTTAAGAAAATGACGAACACGCGTCTGTGCGCGGGTCCTGGAGTATTTTAGCAAATATCCACAGTTTATTTTTGAAGGTGGGTTTCACTTGCCGGTGCCTGAAGCGTGTTTCATATCGTTTCCAGGCCGCAGCTTAACAGGCATGGGGTTGGATCTGGTGAAGATCCAAAATAGACAAACTTAATTAAAACCATGTTCGCAATACAGTTCTCCTTCCGACGTGAAACACATCTGTTTACCTTCCATTCTACGCCATTGATAACGATTCTTACGAGCGCGTTGTGTATTGGTTAACGATCAAAAGCAGACGCTTTTAACACAACGTTGAAATTCTTACTTGCAGTTGCAAAAATAAAAATCGCAGAGACTGACACGTCTACACACACATACAAAAATATTCTGTACGATGACAAAAGCAGCTGGTGGCACCAGGGGTGGCAGTACCCACTTATCCACGGAAACTGTGTTACCTCCCCTGGTTAGCGGCTGATGAAGGCAGGGTATCACACGTGCTTTCACACACTGTGTGTAGAAAATTTGTCTAACGACAAACGGTGCATTTGTATTTTTCAGCGACTTGAATAATTTACCTCAGAATTAAATTTCGAAATAGATTTTATGTGAAATAATTCTATTTGATTAAAAAGTACACTTAAAAATTTAAAAAAAAACAGAAAGAGAAAAACAGAGAAAAGAACATAATATAATTGATAACTCTCTCCTCCAGTTTGAAGACCCTAGTTACTATATTCTTAATATAATGCAAAAATATCACAATGATAAAATCGGTCAATAGTTATTTATAACTATTTATACTGGGACTCATGCACGCAATTACAAGTAATCCATAATAATATTTTAAATTTTGAAATCTTATTTATTTTTTGCATATGCCTTTTTAAAAAAAAAACTGTCTCTAAATCTTTGATTGTCTTTCAATCACTCCGCCTCACCTTCTATCCTCTTCCGCCTCACCTGCTATCCTCTTCAACCGCACATATTTAGGAACCTAATGTCTTAGGCTATTGAGATGAGTTCTATTTCTAAGGCCTTCTGTCACTAAAAGCTTTTTATTTGAAACAGTAAGATTGCGAATGTGCTCTGCTTTGCTAACAAGATAAAGTTTGTATATATTTGGATTTTATTGTTCTTTTTTTATAAAGTTTCTTTCTACATTCTTAATAAAAGACAATATCTTTATTTTATATTCATAGTTTATTAATATATACATATACAAAAATCATACTAAACAGAAAAGTATGATATCTTAATTAACACCTTAATATGTCTAGTTAACACCTTTACCAGGAAATAAGTTTTGAAACGGAAATTAGAAGAATAAACACGCATGGCTAAACATCCGGTTTTTTTTCTATTATTTAAGATCGTGAAAAATTAAATATTTAACAAAATATATGTACGACATTAACATTTTAATTGATAATATGGTACAACTTTTCAAAAAAAAATTACATAGCGATGGCTGTACTACAGGTTCGTATTATACACAAGGATGTAATTTAATCCCTGTTTTTAGTTTCAGAAACACGGGGTCGTATTATACACAAGTCGTATTATACACAAGCCGTATTATGCACAAGGATGTAATTTAATCCCTGTTTTTAGCTTCACAAACACGGGGTCGTATTATACACAAGTCGTATTATACATAAGAATGTAATTTAATCCCTGTTTTTAGCTTCAGAAACACGGGGTCATATTATACACAAGTCGCATTATACACAAGGATGTAATTTAATCCCTGTTTTTAGTTTCAGAAACACTAGATCGTATTATACACAAGTCGTATTATACACAAGCCGTATTATGCACAAGGATGTAATTTAATCCCTGTTTTTAGCTTCAGAAACACGGGGTCATATTATACACAAGTCGCATTATACACAAGGATGTAATTTAATCCCTGTTTTTAGCTTCGGAAACATGGGGTCGTATTATACAAAACGTCGAATTATACACAAGTCGTATTATACACAAGGATGTAAATTAATCCCTGTTTTTAGTTTCAGAAACACGGGGTCGTATTATACACAAGTCGTATTATACACAAGCCGTATTATACACAAGGGTGTAATTTAATCCCTGTTTTTAGTTTCAGAAACACGGGGTCGTATTACACAAAGTCGTATTATACAGATGTACTTTAATCCCTGTATTTATAAACACAGAACTCGTATTATACACAAGTCGTATTATACACAAGGATGTAAATTAATCCCTGTTTTTAGCTTCAAAAACACGGGGTCGTATTATATACAAGTCGTATTACACACAAGTATTATACACAAGTATTATACACAAGAAAATACAGTAATACTAGAATGCGACCAAATGTCTCTGGCATTGGTTGTGCTACTCACTCTTTGTTCTGCATTTCCTGTGGCACAAGACCGAAAGCAAGCGGCACCTAGTGAGGATCGATCTCACTATTCAGTCTTAATTGTATTTCCTATCGAGGTTAGGGAAAAATTTAAGTTTAACTTTTTTCAGTAAGCTTTAATACCTCACCAGATAGATAGATAGAGAGAAACTAAAAATCCGACAATTATTTGATTTTTGCAAGAATTTCCAATCAATGTGTTTTTCACCGCAAAAAAGGATGCAAAATTTCCTATATTACTCTTTGCCTCTCCCTTCGCTGGCGAAAAAACAACAAAACAGGATAGATAGATAGATAGATAGATAGATAGATAGATAGAATAGATAGATAGATAGATATAATAATAGATAGAATCAACCACAATCATTTTAAGACTTTGAGAAGTTTAAGCATAATTGTATAATTTAATTAGTATAATTTGTGGGAGAGATTAATTTAAAACTATCAAAGAATTAAGATCAGATAAAACCCAACCTCAAGGTCTAGCTGGAATATACTTCCCTATAAACGTATTTATTTATTTACAAGTTGAAAATGAATGACTGGGAGGTTTGAATTGCCATGGGGTCACCCCCAAGTACCAATTCCAATTCCCTGAAATATATTATTGGTTATTTTGAACTTGAATTAATTATTGAAGATATAAATAACATGCGATTTTATTTCTAATGTAATGTTTTATCTAGGTACCTCCACAAAAACGCGATAACTAAGGTTTAAAAGTAACTTTCAAAAATGAAAAAACTTTCTTGAAGTTTTTATTTTAGTTTTAATTTCAAGCTAATAGATTAAATTTAATATTTCTAATGAATAAAATACTTTGCTGTATTTCAAAAACTAATTTAAATTGACTGTATTTTTTTTTCGTTTTGAAATTTCTCGATTTTGTGCTACTTTTAGTTATTCGTATTCACGATGTAATTCTCTTTATTAAAAATCTTTCAAAAATCAAATATACTTTTCTGAATCGTTATTTGAGGAATATTAGCTGATTTAACGTTTAATTAATCTGATTTGAAACAAATATTACTTATTTTATGTTTAAAATATCGCTGAAATGCATTTTTAACGCGACGAAAGCTGTTTATTTCAGATGTTGAGAGGCTGACTAATTTTTTCCTGCAATGGATGTATCTGGGAATTGATTTGAGGAATATAATGTGAGCGCCTTTATTATATAAATTTTTAACTACAGAGAAATCTTAAAAAAGGATGAAAATATAGTTATCGCTCTTATTTTCAGACAATGTCGTGTATGGACGTCGACATTTACAAAAGTCGGTACGTTTATACACATACAAAAAAAAAATTCTTTTTAAAATATTGGGGACCGCTAAATTGTAATAAGCTTTGCCATTTAGTATTAGCAAATATAGTTTTACTTAATAACAATATCGCCTAACCGATAAAAATTAAGACAGAATTTTAAAAAATTTAAAACTTTATAAACTACTAGAATTAAAATTTGAAAAAATGAAAACAATTCTTGTAAAAATTAATTATTGATCGATTTTTTTTCTTAAGACAATAGTGTCCATAATATATCTTATTCATAAAAGCAATTAATTTTTTTCGAATTAAATAATGTCTTAGTTTTATTACATATTTTAATTTTATGATTCGGAGTAGATTTTTCGGTAATTAGGAAATGCTGTTTTGCAAAAAGAAATTGATGATTTGATTTCTCCATGGAATTCTGCTTTGAACTAATATAAACATTAAGCAGTACAAAATTTAATTGCTCAAAATTTCATAAAATTAAATAAGTGTGGCGTTAATAAATATGAAAACAAATTTTTTAGCAAGATTTTCTTTAAAAAATAGTTCTAAAATAATTTCATTCATTTGTGAACAAGCCCTGAAAGTTTCCTTAAAATCCGACGATTATTTGATTTTTGCAAGAATTTCTAAATCCATGTCTTTTTCACCACAAAAAAAGACTATAATAAATTCCTATACTAATTTTCGCCCACCCACTCCGCTGACGAAAAAAAAAAAAATCAACAAAAATTTCGAACGTTCTAAAAAGGATCAAAAATATAATTTAATAATCAAAAAATCCTCTGGTCTTTCTTCTTAATAATAACATAAAGATTTTGACGATAAAATTTTGTTTTTATTAAGTTTGGGGCTGTTTTCATCATGGTATGCTATTTTTTTAAGCGAGTCAGTGGAGGTGCCTAGTTTTATCTATTTATTTCTTCTAAATAAATAAACGACAAATTCTGTCTGCCTGTCCGTGAAGGCCTTCTAACTCAGACCACACTTGCTCTCCATATACATATTATACCACTTTTGGAATCAGGATGATCGCGGGATGGAAAATATTCCCTTCATCTGATTCTTGAACATCCAGCATTGTTATTTGAGCCCAGATGAGGAGGAAACAGTTAAAAATTCAAATTTTAAAATAACTGAACAAAATTAGTGATTTTAAAAGTTTTTAATTTATATTGTGTTTAAAGTGACACAGAATTTTTTGTTTTAAATACAATTTAAAATATATCCAACACTTTGTGAATTGAGGACATATGGCACAGTGGATAAAGGCGTTGGTTAGATCCAGTGACAGGACCCAAAGAGTGTGAGTTCAATACCTGGTTAAGGCAGTGGAGAACTTTCAGAGGGAAAATTAGCAGGAGATAACTGACATCCATTAAACATGGCACGTGGAACTAGAACAGTCTACCCCAGTGAGCGAAAGAAAGGGTTCAGTTCGACATTCCAACCACCTGAAGAAGGCCAGAGCGTACAACGGCCGAAACGTTGTGACAAGTATGGCGACAAAGATGAGGACAATAGTCCGAATAATGTAAATAATGAACTCGACTCAATTGAAGTTCCATGGAATTTGTGATTCGAAGAACTTAATTTTCGGTCCAAATCGGAGTTTCGGTCCAAATCGGTCTTTGGACCGGAATTGGACTTATAGCCTGAATCAGAGTTAAAGTGAGGTTTTGAAGTTCCATGGAGTGAAATGAGGAATTCAAGTTATTTCTTCAAAATTACCATTGCTGTTTCCTAAGCTGGGTCAGAGGTCCAAATTTTGGACCGGAGCCCGAATTAGTCCTCCGCAGGAGACAGTTTAAAAGTCAGCACGGAGTGTGACTTTTAAACTAGTTAAAAATAAAAGTCGGCTTTACATTCACAAGCGTAAGAATTTTCCATATTATTTGCGAAACAGTGCGAGACAACATCAAATAGTCCTAATGGAAGACCACATAACCCTTATCAAAAGATATGACCACGTCATAATAGCCAACAATCTTTCCACTGCCATCCTACAAGGTACCACCTTAGACTAAAGAAGAAGCAGACAGAAGAATTGCCGATCAATGTCACTCAATTGACTGGAATATCATTCCAGAGCCGAGACGTATGAAGAATGTTTGTTAGATGCTCAGTTTCAACAACGGCCCTGCGACCAAAAAAAAAGGAACAATGGACTCAATCAATGATGATACATACGATGTGGATGATTTTATAAAAAATGAAAATGTTTAATATTTTATATTCTCCTACCATTATACAATCGTCAGATTAATTCATTACAATTCGATTTACACTAGACGCTGGAATACAGTGACCTTGTACCAGACTAGGTTAAAGCCTTAGTAAATAGATTTTATTGTTTTTGTCCAATTTGTTTTTCTGATGGATTTGATTTAAATTTAAAAAGATTAAAAAGGTTTCATTTTCCAAGCGACTGCATTTTCACTTCATTAATTCAAGACGGTATGATTTTTCTTTCAAAGATTTTTAGTCATTCATGTTTTTAAACAGCGAATGAACATTCTTTTTTTATTTATGCAGTTCGTATTTTCTGTATGTAAGCCGCATCTTGAAAAGAACACATGAATAAAAAGAAAAAAGTATGTATTTATATAAAGGCAATAACACATACATGGACATAAAGATATCTAAATCAGCTCATCTCCTAATATTTTCCAAGTTTTATGAGGAAAGAGAATTCGAATATGATATCGTGTCTGAGACGCTACCACAGAATGCACGAAAATTATGAGGGGCACCTAGTGAGGATCAAACAGGAGTAATGATCTATAGAAATTTTCTATCCCACTATATATATCGAAAGACATTATTGTGTGTGTGTGTGTGTGTGTGTGTGTGTGTGTGTGTGTGTGTGTGTGTGATACCACATATATATAAATTAACCCATAGTAAAAACCCTGAAGTTTCGTGAACGCATTGTTGTAATGCCTTCGTTCTTCAGGGCTATTACATTACTACAATGCATTCACGAAACTTCGAAGTCGGAATGACTGAAATACCCCCACTCAGTTAAGTGACTCCACATTGATTCTATTAACGCTCTATCCTTACCTTTTGATATTGAGCATTTTATGACAAAAACCTGCCTAAAATGCCTTTCCATATATATATATATATATGTGTGTGTGTGTGTGTGTGTGTGTGTATATATATATGTGTGTGTGTATATATATATATAAAAATATAAAGGGTTGTAGTGGTTCTACCATGAAAATGTATTCAAAAACGCTGGCGGGGGCATATGCAAACGTTTTTTTTGTAATGTGAATTTATTTTTTTCTAAATAAATCCACATTACAACCAAAAACGTTTGCGGCAAATGGTTCTTTCGTTTGTAATGTATATATACCCCATATATATATATATATATATTAAATTTATGACTTTTTAGTAAAATAATTGATTTCCTACAACATAATTCATGAACTTTGTTAAAAAAATAATGGAGGGTTTAATTTTGTTTATTTTTAAGATGTTAGCCCCACCACGAAATTTCTAAAATCGTATATAAGTATAGTAGTACTATGAATTTCTGGAAACTTCTAGGATTTTTGGGAACATTCCATAAATCCCTGGAGCCTTTTAGAACTTTATGGAACCTTCTGGAACTTATTTTTGTTTATTTGTATCTTTGAATGTTATGCTATAGGTATAAACTATTAAATGTGTTAAAAAATATGTATGTACTATCCGATTATACCATTAGCAAATTGAAAAATGATGCTTCTGATATATTTTGAAAATATTTTTTGAAATATTTTTATCCATTTTGCGCAAAATCGAATTTCCACCTTGGGAGCGATTTTTTGTTTTTAAGAATTGAAACAAATTAATGCTTTTTTCATTACTTTTCCATAATAGTTCATCAATTTATGACACCGGAGCATAGAATTACAAAAATTCATAAATATATATATATATATATATATATATATATATATATATATATAATTATATATATATATATATATGCATAATGTAAGAACTGTGTAATCCGTATGGTAATCCCAAGGAGGATGAAATCCTAAGAGCTCAATGTAAATCCAGAGTATAATGGTTAAAAGAAAAACAGAC